AATTATGGGAGTTAATGCTCAGTGATGCTGCCATTGTGTTTCAAAACACCCCTACGCTCATTTTTGCAATATCATTTAAGGTACGATAAGTCGTCTTATGATGACACCGCTCGGCTGTGATGAGGAGTCTCTTTCAAACGTCAGGCCATAACAAAACCCTGCAACAGTCACTTCAACCTGACGAAGTGAGTGCTCTCGGAAGGGCTCGCGTGGCACGAGTACATTCTTCCGGCTAAGTACCAGCTCACAGGGGCTACTTCTAAATGTGACTTTATAAAGAAACTCCTGCAACGTGAAGTTGGGCCGGGACGGAGAGGTGTCAGCGCAAGTGTGGCCCTGATATACGCACAAACTCGCCTACGGGTGTCCTGGTCTAGTCCTCGTATTCAAAGGCACAGGAAAAGAGTGTGGCAGACGCTGCGTTAGTCCCCTTCACCACCATTCGTACCACGTGTAGATGAGCAATAGGCTCTATAGCACGGGTGGTCATCCTTAATTAGAGAAAAACGAGACTCTCAAACCCTTTTGAAGACTAACCAAAATTTCAAAAGCAGTCAAAAATCTGATCTACGGCAGAGCTTAATTGGCACAAATAAGGCCAACCCAGCAAAAGAAAAAAACGACACCACTGACACATTTTGGACATCGGACGTCCCATAAAAAAACACCGATTCTCACCAAGGATAACAATTTCAAATTTCAGGAGGGCACCTTACTTAATTATCCTTCTCATAACTTTTTAGTTGAAAATTTGTAATAACGAGGTAAGAAAGGGGAAAATATCGGTGGGAAAGAGTCACCTGTGCGGGCAGTCAACACAAATTGTCTGGTCCTCGAAGATGCCACCGAGGACATGGTCCACGGGTTTTGGCATACCACAAAGCTTCATGGCTTCATCGATGTTCTCTACCAGACAATTAAAAAATTCCAAGGCATCGTGTTGCTCTCGCAGGTTTGTAGAACCATCCCAGAAACTGAATGCGAAAAAACAAGAAGACCGTTAGAGAAAAGAGCCGGTTGCATAAAAGAAAATCTAAACACCATAGTAGGTGTTCATTCGATGAACTAGGCTTAAACAGAG